GCTGTAGTAGCAGTACTGGTTAGGATAACACTCGTTGTTGATGAAGCTAAAGAAAATGAATACAACTAACAAGACTATCCGAAGTTGTTCTTGTAATGGTAACATATGAGGCTATATTTCATATATTTCTAAGCCTTTCATCATCTTTTCAATGAAAAAGAAAAACTAGTATACTACATTTATTGACGACGTCCGTAAGTTAAGGCATAACACATATCCAACAATTTTCTGATAAACTGTACTACTAAGTAACGGGCGTTCCATAAAGAATGGTACTGTTTGTATTTTGCGCTTTTCTGTATCAGTTTTGATAGTTGAGACTTGAACCTTTTTCCAAAAGACAGCCCATTCAATTCTCTACAAAATCATATGAAAAGAGTTCCTGTAAAATACAATCGTGAATCCTATGCAGCCAACACTAGTATGCGCCTGAAGAGAACCGTTACCAATGCCCTTTTCCCTAAAATTAATTATTGTGCCTCGTCTAGCCACGAAGACGCTAAGTCACTCTGGTGTACGTTTTCCTATGTTTTCGACTGTGTCCTTTCTCAAAGCGCTCAAAACAAGTCGGTCAAATCAGATGGTGAAGGGCTTGTTAGCTTTCTCTGTGCTTCTCTTCTCTTGATCGGTACGCTGGCATCCGTATTTTCGGATCCAACTCAGGAAACCTTGACCCCGGGTGGGGTCGAGAAGAACTAACAGAATTTCTTACCTTCACTTGTTTGACTATTTAATCTTCTATTACGAATTTTAAAACACGTACTTTATTGTTAGAGTTAAAAGAAAATGAATATATAAGTGAACAACGAAAACAGAAAACGTGTTGATAGTAGATGATAAAGTTAAAAAGAGACGAGAGAGAGAATGAGAAAGGAAGTTTAGGCGGATAGTGAAAGAGAACAAAATCTGAATAAGACGATAAGTTGACTAATAGATAATATTGCGCAACATGTCCGATGTATACTGGACAACAGTACTGAAAGACAAGGGAGAATAAAAGAAATACAAGTTATGATCTGCTGAAGATGTCGTTGGGAGCAGATCATAACACCTCCCCCCTTGCAGAAGATGGTAACACCCATCTTGAAATTAAGCTATCCGTGTAAACGGCTGCTCATAAGTCTTTGAATGCAAACTATATAAGAGGGAAAACAACTTTATCAAAAGGACAATAAAGACAAAATAAACATTGAGGTAATACTTTTAAAGAAGTGTAGAGATTTAAACAAAACAAAACAAAACAATCGTAAGGAAATATCTGAAAAAAAAACGACAAAAGAAAACAGCAAAGGCTAACAAATTTGTTAAAATATGTTGATAAATTTATAATGATGTCGTATGTCGAAAACGTCATGAGGTAATGTGCGTATAGGTAATTGATGTTGTTGTTGATTTTTAAGTGTAATTGTTGCATTGCCACCAGCAATGATTACTTTTGCATATGGTATACCATAGTCCTTCAGAATAGATTTAATCATTGATACATTGAATGTTCGATAACAACTTCGTTGAATGTTGAATTGTGATCGAAATTGATTTTGTTTTCTGTGACGTTTGCGATTTCGTTTATGTCTGGCATGTGCTGATCTATAAGTATTTCTGTTGTGTGGTCGTGGTTGTTGAACTGGTTGTGGTTCTGGCATATCAGTTGGACTCTCGTCTTCTGATGCTGTGATATTATCATACATAGCTGGTTGTTCATTTAGTTGTTCGGCTAAATCTGTTAGATTTTCATCCATAGTGTACTGGTTGTATTCATGTTGGTGTTGATCTTGTGTAAATTCGGTTGAATTTTCCAAGTTTTCTTGTATATTTTGTTGGTTAAACTCGTCTTGTTGTTGTTGTTGCTGATGATTGTCTTGTATTTCCATTGTTATTTTACGATGATTTAATTTTGATTCTTGATCTTGTCGAATGTACGATAACAATAAAGTTACAGCTAAACAATCATCGACGGCGTATTTAATTAATGTTTGGCGTAGTTGTTTTTGTTTATTGTGATAATGTGTTCTTCTTTCACCAACTAAGTTGGCTGACATCCAGGTTAAGAGACGAGAATCGATCGTGTTATACAACAATATTTTATTTCGTCGTATTTTATTTCGTTACCTGCATCAATGCTCAACACCGCGCTGGAAGCATTTCACGATCATCCAATGAGTGAGCATTTTGGAGTACAACGGACGTTATGTAAAATTCGTACTCGATTCTGGTGGCCCACTATGCGTAAATCGATAGAGCATTACATATCATCTTGTCAACAATGTATGAAATTCAACATCCTACGCAGT